TTACCCAAGTCTCACGTAGTGTTATTAAATAAAACCACAGTATTCATGTTACCCAAGTCTCACGTAGTATTATTAAATAATACACTGACAGTAGTCATGTTACCCAAGTCTCACGTAGTGTTATTAAATAAAACACCGACAATATTCATGTTACCCAAGTCTCACGTAATGTTATTAAATAAAACACAGTATTCATGTTACCCAAATTTGTTTTTTAGATGGGAAATCGGTAAGTAGTGATGCTAAATGTAACTGTTCACCAGTTATAAAGATTACTTGGATCGCTAATCTTATACTGAACAGCTGACAATTAGTTATAGAGATTACTTGGATCGTTAATCTTATACTGAACAGCTGACAATTAGTTATAGAGATTACTTGGATCGCTAAGCCTATACTGAACAGCTGACAATTAGTTATAGAGATTACTTGGATCGTTAATCTTATACTGAACAGCTGACAATTAGTTATAGAGATTACTTGGATTGCTAAGCCTATACTGAACAGCTGACAATTAGTTATAGAGATTACTTGGATCGCTAATCTTATACTGAACAGCTGACAATTAGTTATAGAGATTACTTGGATCGCTAAGCCTATACTGAACAGCTAACAATTAGTTATAGAGATTACTTGGTTCGCTAAGCCTATACTGAACAGCTAACAATTAGTTATAGAGATTGCATGGATCGCTAAGCCTATACTGAACAGCTCACAATTAGTTATAGAGATTACTTGGACCGCTAAGCCTATACTGAACAGCTGACAATTAGTTATAGAGATTACTTGGATCGCTAAGCCTATACTGAACAGCTGACAATTAGTTATAGAGATTATTTGGATCGATAAACCTGTAATGAATAAGGATATTGATTTATATTTAAAACTACGCTTACCCTGGTACAAATCTCAATATGTCTGAGGCACTGGTGTGTGGTTGTTGAATAACCATATATAAATGAAGACAAGTCGAAATAACCACAGAATTTTGTAATCTCGGAGTAAAAACTGTTAGTTAAACTTAGAAGATGGATATCTTCCATATCAGGCAGCAGGAAATTTTCATTTTGTAAAGTCTTCGTGTAACATATAGAAATTATCTGAACTAATGTTGTTGTTTTTATTTATTAATAACATGATTAATAAAAGGTTATCTTAGGATATGAAAAATTGCTTTCATTATATGTAATTGTAAACAACGAACATAAAAACCGCAAAACACAAAATGGAAAACTGAAAATTTGTATGCACCCCCGCATGGACCTAATGAACCTCCATGCCAACTTGGGTGAATATCCATCCATATCCTGTGAAGTAGTTACATGGACATACAACAGACAGTACTATTATATTTATACAGGTACTTGCTTAATTTAATTAACATTGTTGTAATATCACTTGTTTTGATTTGTGTACTATAATGTCAGTATCTATGTATGTAACCAAAGCTCCTGCGCCATCTATTGAATGACACCTCAAACACAATTCCATAAAAATTTGACGCTTTGGGTATTCAAGATTCAGACAATTATAGAAATAACTGTGGTATGTCCAACGATCAGTTCTTTATAAGAGAAGAAATTTTAAATAAAAATACTCTCCTCACAACAAGAACACGACTTTCATTAGGACTGTACGTGAGGGTATCTGAGAAACTGGAGTTGTTAAGAAAAATTATAATTTTTTTCAATAAACAGTACCACTTTTAATATATAAAAACATTACAGTTTATATCAGTGAAACTTACGGAAATTTGGAGCCATGTACATTGATCATTTTTGATGCAATGAGTTGTGTATGGCTAAAGAGCACAATCAGAACACTTTTCTCGTGCTGTACTCCCCCCCCCCCTACCCCAAAAAAAAATTATTTTTTTAAGAAAATGTTCACATTTTTATTTTTTCAATGAGGTATGAATACAACGATCCGTAATTACTAGCACAAACAGACGCCCGTAGGGTGGCGTTTCTGTTAGTTCTTATATTGTCACATGTTCTGTTTTCTGTAATTAGAATAACATTGTTGTAATATTTTTATATATTTATAATAGCATTGTTGTAATGTCTGTTGTTGTGTTTTCCTTATTTAAATTAGCGTCATCATAATATCCGATGTTTTTCATTTCCGTATCTAGCTGCTTCATCACCAAGAGACGCACAGCGACCGTCTCTTCCCGGCTTGTCTCGTTCAGCCGAGGAGATCTACGTCACCAGCAGTGGTATTTCTGACGTCAGCAGCACCATCAAGAAGACGCGGAAGAGAAAGGAAGGAAAAGGAACTTGGGGCTCTATAACGCGTGTCTTTTCTAGAGGGCGCCACCGTAAAGGCTTAGATCCAAACATGTTTGACAGTAAGCAAGTGTGAAACTTACTAGATATTAAAATATACGTCATAGAAATTATTAAGGACAATTACTTCCAATCGGTTGTAACTCGACTATACACATTTTGCTTTGAGTAATTTGTTATGGTGAGTTAGGCTAAGTTATATAGCTCATAGTTCAAGGATAAAGCGAAAACCTGAATATTTATATTAAGATGTAAGGTTTAGGTTTGTAGTCAACTGACATTTATTTAAAACACAAAACAGTTAACAACGTCATCATCAGGTAAACAATAACTTTGAAATAGTTATTGTTCAAATGCCGTGAGGGCAACATTGATACGTATAAGATTGTAGGGGTATTGTATTTTATTGGTAGTCAACATTGTAATATCATACATGAACAAATTCAATGAAATAATTAATATGGATATATAAGTACAAAGTGGGTTTAAGTACTTGTATTAGAAGAGCTTTTATTTTTCGTTTGTTTACGTTTGTTTCCCTGTTTAATATATTATTATTTTTTCTATGTTTACAATGTGTTTGAGGGTGTATTTTGTGTTCACTGAACCTAGTTTCCATTCTTCGGCTTGTTTCTCCGATAAAGAAATCATGACAGTTGTTACATTGTATTTTGTAAATAACGTTAGTATTGAGTATTTTTTACATAGTATAGGTTTTAGTTTGGTACCTAGTTTTTAAATGAATTTAGTTTTACTGAAATGTTATGTTTGGTGATGAGTTTTTTCCAAATGTTATTTATGTTACCAATATTATACACATTGTCAGTATGGGTTAAGCAGTGTTTGGAGTATTCGAACTGTGCCAAAGTTGCCATATGACACTCATTGTCAGTATGGGTTGAGCAGTGCTGGAAGTATTCCAACTGTGCCAAAGTTGCCATATGACACTCATTGTCAGTATGGGTTGAGCAGTGCTGGAAGTATTCCAACTGTGCC